AATCAATCCCAGAACAACAGCAAAGGACCTTGTGAAGATGCTGGAGGAAACAGGTACAAAAATATCTATATCCAAAGTAAAACGAGTCCTATATCGACATAACCTGAAAGGCCCCTCAGCAAGGAAGAAGCCACTGCTCCAAAACCGCAATAAAAAAGCCAGACTACGGTTTGCAACTGCACATGGGGACAAAGATCATACTTTTTGGAGAAATGTCCTCTGGTCTGATGAAACAAAAATAGAACTGTTTGCCCATAATGACCATCGTTATGTTTGGAGGAAAAAGGGGGTACTTGCAAGCCGAATAACATCATCCCAACCGTGAAGCACAGGGGTGGCAGCATCATGCTGTGGGGGTGCTTTGCTGCAGGAGGGACTGGTGCACTTCACAAAATAGATGGCATCATGAGGAAGGAAAATGATGTGGATATATTGAAGCAACATCTCAAGACATCAGTCAGGAAGTTAAAGCTTGGTCACAAATGGGTCTTCCAAATGGACAATGACCCCAAGCATACTTCCAAAGTTGTGGCAAAATGGCTTAAGGACAACAAAGTCAAGGTATTGGAGTGGCCATCACAAAGCCCTGACCTCAATCCTATAGAACATTTGTGGGCAGAACTGAAAAAGCGTGTGCAAGCAAGGAGGCCTACAAACCTGACTCAGTTACATCAGCTCTGTCAGGAGGAATGGGCCAAAATTCACCCAACTTATTGTGGGAAGCTTGTGGAAGGCTACCCAAAACGTTTGACCCAAGTTAAACAATTTAAAGGCAATGCAACCAAATACTAATTGAGTGTATGTAAACTTCCGACCCACTGGGAATGTGATTAAAGAAATAAAAGCTGAAATAAATCTTTCTCTCTGCTATTATTCTAACATTTCACATTCTTAAAATGAAGTGGTGATCCTAACTGACCTAAGACAGGGAATTGTTACTAGTTAATAAATGTCAGGAATTGTGAAAAAACGTAGTTTAAATGTATTTGGCTAAGGTGTATGTAAACTTCCGACTTCAACTGTATGCTTAGTCTAATACAGTGACAACTAAAAGATACCAAAAACAATTTAATCCAATCAACGTAAGCTGAATATGATGTGGCTGTCCATGGTTCTGATTTCTGTGTGTGGGTGTATGTGTGCATTGTGCAAGTAGAAAAAACATGTTGACTCACCCTACTTGTAGAGAAACACCAATGCCATCCTTTTTTCCAGTGAGGGAAAAAAGTATTTGATCCTCTGCTGATTTTGTACGTTTGCCCACTGACAAAGAAATGATCAGTCTATAATTTTAATGGTAGGTTTATTTGAACAGTGAGAGACAGAATAACAACAAAAAAATCCAGAAAAACGCATGTCAAAAATATTATAAATTGATTTGCATTTTAATGAGGGAAATAAGTATTTGACCCCCTCTCAATCAGAAAGATTTCTGGCTCCCAGGTGTCTTTTATACAGGTAATGAGCTGAAATTAGGAGCACACTCTTAAAGGGCTCCTAATCTCAGGTTGTTACCTGTATAAAAGACACCTGTCTACAGAAGCAATCAATCAGATTCCAAACTCTCCACCATGGCCAAGACCAAAGAGCTCTCCAAGGATGTCAGGGACAAGATTGTAGACCTACACAAAGCTGGAATGGGCTACAAGACCATCGCCAAGCAGCTTGGTGAGAAGGTGACAACAATTGGTGCGATTATTCGCAAATGGAAGAAACACAAAAGAACTGTCAATCTCCCTCTGCCTGGGGCTCCATGCAAGATCTCACCTCGTGGAGTTGCAATGATCATAAGAACGGTGAGGAATCAGCCCAGAACTACACGGGAGGATCTTGTCAATGATCTCAAGGCAGCTGGGACCATAGTCACCAAGAAAACAATTGGTAACACACTACGCCGTGAAGGACTGAAATCCTGCAACGCCCGCAAGGTCCCCCTGCTCAAGAAAGCACATATACAGGCCTGTCTGAAGTTTGCCAATGAACATCTGAATGATTCAGAGGAGAACTGGGTGAAAGTGTTGTGGTCAGATGAGACCAAAATCGAGCTCTTTGGCATCAACTCAACACGCCATGTTTGGAGGAGGAGGAATACTGCCTATGACCCCAAGAACACCATCCCCACCGTCAAACATGGAGGTGGAAACATTATGCTTTGGGGGTGTTTTTCTGCTAAGGGGACAGGACAACTTCACCACATCAAAGGGACGATGGACGGGGCCATGTACCATCAAATCTTGAGTGAGAACCTCCTTCCCTCAGCCAGGGCATTGAAAATTGGTCGTGGATGGGTATTCCAGCATGACAATGACCCAAAACACACGGCCAAGGCAACAAAGGAGTGGCCCAAGAAGAAGCATATTAAGGTCCTGGAGTGGCCTAGTCAGTCTCCAGACCTTAATCCCATAGAACATTTGTGGAGGGAGCTGAAGGTTTGAGTTGCCAAACGTCAGCCTCAAAACCTTAATGACTTGGAGAAGATCTGCAAAGAGGAGTGGGACAAAATCCCTCCTGAGATGTGTGCAAATCTGGTGGCCAACTACAAGAAACGTCTGACCTCTGTGATTGCCAACAAGGGTTTTGCCACCAAGTACTAAGTCATGTTTTGTAGAGGGGTCAAATATTTATTTCCCTCAGTAAAATGCCAAATCAATTTATAACATTTTTGACATGTGTTTTTCTGAATTTTTTGGTTGTTATTCTGTCCCTCACTGTTCATATAAACCTACCATTAAAATTATAGACTGATCATGTCTTTGTCAGTGGGCAAACATACAAAATCAGCAGGGGATCAAATACTTTTTTTCCTCACTGTATATATATATATATATATATATATATATATATATATGAGTAGCCTATAGCATAGACTCAATCATTAGGCTGTATTGCATTATTTTAAAATAGTTGGAATTGCCCTCTTATAAACTAGCATATAAGGAAAGGTAGAAAAAAAGGGCTATCCGGGATCCGTGGGACATCCATACCCTAAACCCTAACCTTAACCCCTACCCTAAACCTAACCTTAACCATAACCCTTACCTAACCCTAACCTTAACATTTCAATTTTAAATGTCATTTTAAATTTTAATAGGGTACTGACGTCCCAAGGATCCCAGATAGCAGGGAACAGGAAAAAGAGTGTATAAGTCAACATTACCCGGATGCAAGAATCTTTATTGAGTATAGAGGTAGTGATGATCGATCACTCATGGTACAGGAACGGCGGGAATAGGTGTACATGGTGATGCGTCCACCACTGGATCCGAATTGGTAAAATTAATGCTTTGAACACATCGACTGCGTCATTGCGCAAAATAGTATGCAGCATCATCTAGATATGTGTGCAACAAAAGTTCAACATTCACCTTCTGCTACCATTTCTGTCAACCCCTTTACGCATACAGTTTGACGCATACGTTCGATTAATCCAATGTATGCACCATACAGAACGCACGCAAGGCATTGCAAGGCAAACGCAGCGTTCCATTGGAAATGAATGTACTTCTGGTGTACGAAAACATAATAACACAGTCAGTGTGTTCGAAGCGTTAGTCACCGTTGCGTTAATTAATGAAAGCTTAATTTATCTTTATTTGGGCATAGTAATTAGACTACTTAGATGGTGCGCTCCATAATGAAAAACAAATTTTTTGGTTCTTGGATTAAACCCACCACATGGCCAGTGTTGCCAATTTAGCAACTTTGTTGCTATATTTAGCAACTATTCAGACCCCTCTAGCGACACATTTTCAAAAAATCGACTGGCGACAAATCTAGCTACTTTTTCTTGTGTTATTGAAGACTTTTGGAGACTCTGACGTGAAAGCACGTATCGTTCTTACTCTTCTCAACGAGCAGCAGCTACTTTCCTTACAGAGGAGTTGGCAACACTGCACATGGCGCATTGAGAGAAGAGCCCCATTCTGGAGTAGGCCCCAGATCCACGTAGCCAACCAGGTAAGAGAAAGCTGACAAATATGACCAAAGTGAAAAATATCTGACACATTTTGAACAATAAACATAATTCCATTCAGGTTTTAACGTGTTTTGGTAAAATAAAATGTTGTGGTTATTGATGCACAAAAAAATTATGAGCTAGGCCTAGGGCCTACAGGCTTTTTCCCCCCATTGGTTAGTTCATATGGTAGCCTAAACTGCCAGGTGAGGTAAGCTTGTAAGCAATTAGAAAATAAGTAATAAGTAGACTCATTTTGAACTAGAAACAAACAATTGTATAGCATAATTGCATTCCTGTTTAATATGTTTTGGTCAAAGAAATGAAGTGTATGACGCACTAGAAATGGCCTATAGGGCCCACATGTTTTTTTTTCGCTTGCCATTTTATGTCTCAGTAAACACGTGAGTTCACGCACCATGTGCATGTTCACACGACTTGTAAGTTATTTGAAGTAAGAAATATAATTTGGCCTCCTAGGTCTTAGATGTAAGTTGGCTTATGAAGTACGCTAAATTTCACAGTTTCGCTGCCGAGGTGTTAGCGGTCATTTGAAGCCTGGTCTAGGACTAGACCTTTTTGTCAGGGAACCATGAGGCCTATTAGCTCAATATTGAATTATACCCTAGTTTGCAGTTGTATCCTGATGATTTCTTGCATTAGTTTTATCTTCTTAACATTATACGAATTGATGATTCATTGTGATCTTGTAGAATAAATAGCCTACAATTGTCACAAGTGTGGATAAATATCAGTTTTATTTTTAAAAGCAAATCGACAGGACAAAATTGCAGGTAGGACTAATGGTAGAATGTAATGCTAGGGCACCAGCATTCAAAGAGTAGTTTATATAATGGTAGGTGATGATACAATAGAATACAAATGATGTGTAGTGTATCTTATACTTTTCTTCAGCTTTGACAGGAATATACAATTGTGTAGTGCATCTTATAGCCAATTAATTTTATATTCTGCTTTCTGCAGCTATGATGACACATACAGTAAGAATAAGTAACACATTGACTTAGGCTACGTACTTTTATTAGGCATGAATGAGGTTGACTGTGTTTCCTCTTCGTAGTTTATAGTGTTTCACTGTTTTGTTCTCATCCAGCGTTTCCCCTGCAAACAAGTCATCAAACACATATTTTAGAAGCTGTTTTTGTATTTATTATAGAAAGACACTTTACATTTATATCTTAGTATACAAATATTTTACAGCTAAGTTTTTAACTGTGAATTACCTAACCTATGTAAGATTCTCATTACCTTGTTAGACATCGGTAAACAATAACAAAATAACAACAATCCATATGAAATAAACATAACTGGCATACTGCTTTAACTCATAAAGGATGTATCAGGTGGATAGATGGATAGCCTACCGTTGTAAACAAGTTTCATTGTGCAGCGTTTCTTTCCTGCCTGTTGACATGCATTTTCCAGCAGAACTGCGATTCTCTCCAGAGGGAACACGTCTATATCCAAGGTCTTTCCCGCACACTTAACAAAGACATTGAACTTGTCCACATCCTCAATGTTGTTGTCAGCCTTAATAAAAAGCACACAGATATTTAATAATCAGAGAAACACGGGTTATGAACAAAAGTCAGAATATATCATTTTAAAAAGTTTCAATAATATAATAATATAAAAACAAACCCATAACTATTTCCCCTAAATGTTAACCCAATCAGATGCTTTGATGAGGGGGGAAAACCCCACTCTCATTAACACAATTTCCATGAGTTGGCCTTTGTTTCAGTCAAATACAGTGTTAGAGTTAAGCCTACTTACACCTAAGGCTCTTGGAGATCCCCCCAGGAAATTCCCTGTGTTAGTCTTATCACCTTGTTGTTCTGGTGACCTGGGTGGGGAAAGGGGAAGTTTACTTATAGTGAAAGTGAAAGTTAGACAGAGGTGTTTAGACTTTGGGGCCTAGACTGTAAAGCACTTTGTGACAACTGCTAATGTAAAAAGGGCTTTGTAAATTAATTTGATTGATTGACTTGACCAAGGAGAGAGAGAGTCTATTTGCACATCATCTCTTGCACATCATTCCAGTGTTAATACTAAATTGTAATTATTTTGCACTATAGCCTATTTTATTGCCTTACCTCCATAACTTGCTAAATTTGCACGCTGTATATTATATGTATTTCTGTTGTATTTTTGACTTTGTTTTGTTTTACCCCATATGTAACTCTGTGTTGTTGTTTTTATCGCACTGCTTTGCTTTATCTTGGCCAGGTCGCAGTTGTAAATGAGAACTTGTTCTCAACTGGTTTACCTGGTTAAATAAAGGTGAAAAAAAAAAAAATTTTTAAAAAAAAAGAGAAACTCTAGGCTCACCTGTCTGTGTCCTGATAGGTCTCTGTCTGAGGGACAACTGTGATTTCCTCTGAAGACTGGTGCAAAACAGACTAAGTTAGTTCACTCTAATGAGTGAGAAGTAGTCATATAGGATTGCCCCCTCCCCTTATATTTCCTGATCATGTATCTATTTTGAAAAGCAACAAATAATGCATTTAAATGTAAATCTTGCATTTGATGGTCTGGTTTGGAGAATGCATACGTTCATGCATGCGTCACCTTGAAATTATGAAATTGTGGATGTTCTCTAAGAATATTGTAAAATAGATTTCAGATTACAGACTAGTTGCCAACAGAAACGATCTTAGTGAAGAAAAAACATAGTAAGAATAGTAAAATGTAGGTTACTTACCTCTGGGTAGAAATAACTGTAGATTCCGCCCATTTTGTAAATGTAAGAATCTCTGTCTGATATAGCTTATTCTTCTTAATCTTCTTCTTCAAAGTTGAATGGAGGTACGCTGCCTCTACCCATTTATATAGTTGCTTGAGCCCTTTAGCTCTTTCAGTTCAGTATGCAACTTTCACTTTCTATTGGGAAAGCCTGGTCTAATAGACTAGATGTAACATATTAAAAGTAAATCCGGAACGCTCAAATTAGTATGATATGTTATGTTTGGTATGGTTACATAAGACTGATGGTTACTTAAAGCAAAAACAGACAACTTGAGCATTTTAGCAACTTTTTAACTACTTACTTTTTAGCTACTTTGCAACTACTTAGCACTACCTGCACACACACCACAACCCTTTAGGAATGGTGTAATACAGGTAGAAAGAAATGAAAGACATCATACCCAGCCATCACCATGTCTTGAGACATCTTGAGACGTCTTAATACATATAAATGAAGACGTCTTGAGGCATATAGAGACCTGTCTTATGGCCTGTCTTAGAAAATGAAGAGATCTTTAAGACAGTCCATAGAAATAACAATGTCTTGAGACATCCGTCTTATGACGTTTCTAGACATTTTATAATTTGTTGTTTTCATGTTTTATTAGTTATAAATACTAATAACTCACTTTAGAACACTTATGCACATCCATAGCACAAATTGTATAAATCAAAGTAATCAAGATTTATTGCCCAAAATAACAATTTCAGATGCAACAAAATAACTTTTGGTAAAGGCAGTATAGAGCTCCAAATAAGTATTTACAGCCAGATAGTCATCTCTTGTTTGGGGATCTCAGATCTCAGAGCTGCTCTTCCTTAATCTACAGGAAAATAAACTGTCATTAATTATCATATCATATACAGCAACATCAGTAACAATACCACCTCTACCCTGCTATTTTCTTGTACCTTAATTATGAATAGCTCACCTGAAGCAGAAAGCCCTACCATCCATGAGGGCTTACTGTTTGACACCAGGTAGGACCCCAGCTTTATTCCAGTCTGAAAATAGGATGAATCAGTTAAGCACTGTCTGTTCTCATGGGAAGAAATGAACATTGTATGTGTCATGTTCCTTTTTGCAATGCAGTGTTCTCACTTGTATTTGCTGGGTGACAGCTGGCCTTGATTGAGTTGAGTTTTTGACATGTCTTCCATCCTTGTATCCTGACAAGAGAAATAGGCCTTGTTCATCACACAATAACTATCAAAGCACATGTGAAAACAAAAAGCAGATACAAGCCTCCAGTCATAACTTACCTCATCAGCCTATCCATGCAGAGGTCAGCACATCATTACTCAACCATTGGTCAAGGTCTGCCCACCCTCATCAATGTAATGCAAAGCACCTCTTCTACATTATAAAACAACATGAAAAACAATCACATCACAGAAATCAAGCAGTAGACTTGGCAGCAACGCCGACAAAGAAAATCACGTCTACGCCTATTTCTGACATTTGCCACGCATTTCCAAAAGCTAGCAAATAACAAAATAATACAAGGCCAACCAGGCTGCCTGTTCTTACCCAGATTCAAAAGAGTTGTAGCCTCCTTGATGCTGTGTTGAACCTCCTCAGCAGTCTCTCGTTCCACTCCCCACGGAATTTGCTTGTAAGATCCCTCTCAAATGCCAGTTGAATCAGCTGCGCTTTCCTCCTGTGCAACATGCTCTGTCTGTGCTCACTGAATACGTTTTTCAATGTTGAAAAATAGTTCTCGCAAGTTGCCATGGATGCTCCAAATGTTAATCCCAGCTTCAATGCCACAGTAGACATTGCTGTTAGAGGCCCGGAGTATCTATCCAAAATGCTCTGTGTTGTCCATTTTTCTTCTCCAGATCGGGCGATTTCAGTCTGCAGACTGGCGTACGACAGTCCAGCAGTGGTGATTAGCGTCGGCTCAGCGGCCTTGGCCTCGGTGATTAGCGTCGGCTCAGCAGCCTTGGCCTCGGTGATTAGCGTCGGCCCAGCAGCCTTGGCCTCTGTGATTAGTGTCAGCCCAGCAGCCTTGGCCTCGGTGATTAGCGTCGGCCCAGCGGCCTTGGCCTCGGTCATTAGCATCGGCCCATCAGCCTTGTCCTCTGTGATTAGCGTCGGCCCAGCGGCCTTGGCCTCAGTGATTAGCGTCGGGCCAGCAGCCTTGGCCTCAGTGATTAGCGTCGGCCCAGCGGCCTTGGCCTCAGTGATTAGCGTCGGCCCAGCGGCCTTGGCCTCAGTGATTAGCGTCGGCCCAGCGGCCTTGGGCTCTGTGATTAGCGGCAGCCCAGCGGCCTTGGCCTCGGTGATTAGCGTCGGCCCAGCGGCCTTGGCCTTGGTGATTAGCGTCGGCCCAGCGGCCTTGGCCTCGGTGATTAGCGTTGGCCCAGCGGCCTTGGCCTCGGTAATTAGCATCAGCCCAGCGGCCTTGGCCTCAGTGATTAGCGTCATGCCAGCGGCCTTGGCCTCAGTGATTAGCGTCGGCCCAGCAGCCTTGGCCTCAGTGATTAGCGTCGGCCCAGCAGCCTTGTCCTCAGTGATTAGCGTCGGCCCAGCGGCCTTGGCCTCTGTGATTAGCGTCGGCCCAGCGGCCTTGGCCTCGGTGATTAGCGTCGGCCCAGCGGCCTTGGCCTCGGTGATTAGCGTCGGCCCAGCGGCCTTGGCCTCTGTGATTAGCGTCGGCCCAGCGGCCTTGGCCTCGGTGATTAGCGTCGGCCCAGCGGCCTTGGCCTTGGTGATTAGCGTCGGCCCAGTGGCCTTGGCCTCGGTGATTAGCGTCGGGCCAGCGGCCTTGGCCTCGGTGATTAGCGTTGACCCAGCAGCCTTGGCCTCGGTGATTAGCGTCGTCCCAGCGGCCTTGGCCTCGGTGATTAGCGTCGGCCCAGCGGCCTTGCCTTTGGCCTCTGTGGCAGGCTTCTCCCCCTCCCCGCCGCTTCGATCCGATGCTGCTGTTGTGCCCTGCGAAGCCACTTTCTAATATCCATCATACTATCAGATACCTACCTAACTGTTAACATTAGCTCAATTCCATCCAGCTGCTCTGTGAATGTTATTTTTTTTCGTAGTACATAACTTTGAAAATTAACTTAAACCGTCAAATTGACCCCGCCCTTCTACTGTGAAGGCCAATCAAAATAGTTTTTTTCAACCGGTAAAATGTGTATGACGTACGTATGATGCGTGCAAGGGAGTTGCATGAATGAAGCATACACAACAAATACAAAATTGAGGGGGCACAATATTCCAACTAAGGGGGCATTGCCCCCTTTTGCACCCTTGTGGCGCCGGGCCTGTGAATATAACAGGAAACCTGTTCGATCACCATGCACTGCAAAATCATTCTGGCTATGGATACGGAAAACATCAACACATTTACATCAACATGCCAGAGGATATACCCATTGGACTTGGGGCTCTGCTGGGAGCTACCTTATATTTGGATTTGTTTTATTCTGCTTTGCCACTAAAGTCCTAATAAACACTGACAACTAAAATATTGTGTTATTGTTAAGTGTATTACTAATAATAATATTAGGGGAGGGGGGAGTAGTTCAAAAATGAATCTCAAAAGGTTATTCAAAAGGTTCTTTTAGGATCCATTGAAAGGGGTTCTTTGAAGAACCCTTTTAAAGAGTTCTTCAAAGAACGTATAGGGGTTTCCCCACAGTTTAGTTTGAAGAACCCCTAAAGGATCCACTAGGAACCTTTACTTTTTAGAGTGTATTCTGCAGCATGTGAGGATGGCATACCTGACCAAGAAAATAAAACAAAACAAGAAAATAAATAAATGCACCAGCCATTTATCTCTCATTTATTTTAGGGATATATTTAATGTAACATGTAGATGCAGGGTTCTACACTAACCTTTTCCACTGGTGGCAATGGTGCTACCAACTTTTTCAGTTTGTGGCACCAGCACATGATTTGGTTGCACCAATTTTCTTATACAGAAATGTATAATGACCTGGCCTGTGTCCCATAATGTGCTTGAATTCCATACAGAACCAGGCTAATAATGACTAGCCATCTTTTAAATTAGCATGGCCTTGTGTTCTTACATTGATTTGGATAGATTTACTGTAACAGCAAAGAAAAGAGACTTAAAATAAAGTTCAAA